AAGAAAGATAACTCTTATTCTAGCAGTGTTTCATAGTAATGTGTGGGCGGTGCAACAGAACACGCTTATTCCTAGTGTAAAAGTATTGAACCTTTCTGATACAGAAATACCCTTTCGTTAAACTGTATAGTCAAATCATTTATCCTAATATTTTGCTTACAAATTACTTGTCTTCACTTCATAAGTATAAACACACATGCTATCTGTTAATTAAGCATCGCGATATTTCAATATTCTATTTCAAGTCGTATCACTCTATAAACAGAGCAGGCAAAGCAGGCAGAGCAGGCAAAGATAAAAATGAAATGATATCAATATACGAAAACAGAAATCATATCAATACAAAAACAGAAATTCTAGGAATACCAAAACTCACAATAGATATGTGTACCCTACTCACACACAGGAGTCCCAAAGAGGGACAGGTCAGCCGGAATTGCTGAGGAAGAAGGCGACCTCTTAAACACTTAAAGCAACAACAACACTGTCGGTCTGTTTCTGACCCCCGACTCTGCGTTCGCGTCATAACGTGTATAGTGTTCGCAATACCAAAACCCACCCGTTCCTTTATTCAACTTCCCAGATCTGCCACTAAAATTGCGCGCCCTTTTTGATTAAATTAGACAACGAAAAATAATTCATGCAGTGCAAAAAAGTATCGCAAATAAACGGGTTCCAGGCCACGAAGAGGCAACCACGACCGTATTATATTAGATGATTACCTCACCTTGGCGTCGAACATTTCTGGTAGTTCAGGCGGAGCCCATTTAAGCCCGCAGGATGAATTTTCGAACCGAATGCGTCGCATTTGAATGCGCCACCTGGTGAATGTGAGTGAAATCACAGAGACATGAAATAGTTTTAAATGTTATTCAATGATGATAGAACAAGGCTACTTTGTCAACAGCTTGTGACGTGGTTGTGTAATTGTTATTTCAAACCATTGTGCGGAACAGTCAGCGATATACTTGGCGAGATAAGCAATCGCCTGGTAATATATCTATATATATGCATATAGTTGCTTTATGATTTGTGATAGGCAATCGATCTCTTGACTTTTATGTAAAGCAGACATGCGGGTTTTTTTCAAATCTCTTGTGCAAATCATTTTCCCATCCTCGAATCAGTCTTCCAATTCACTTGTGTTGTATAGAACGATGATAGACAAAAATCGTATTCTTCACTAAACATAAATTGTGCATGAACTTAATTTCCTTTCAACATTTGTATTGACAACGAATATATGGGCGCACCCATTTCATGAACCCATTGCATCGGCAGCATTATTATCGGGTCTTATAAACACTTGACCAGCATATCATCGGGTCTTATAAACACTCAACCAGCATATCACTGACTCTATAAACACTCAACATAATTGCTAACCTATGCCAGTCATGTATGAAGGAGTAACGCACTGCAGCTCACGCATGTGTTGTCAACGGGTTTGAACGGCCAACAAAGACTGCCACTTAACAAGTCGTTGTCAGCTTTGCTTTTCAAATATTTTCTGCATAAACATTGAGGACAAAACTAAATTTCACAATTTCAATACACGACATTAAATTTAGTTTACACAAAGTTTCTTACAATAAGCCGCATGTACCTTCTTAGGGTAAAAGGGGCGGTCGGGTAGCCTAGTGGTCAAAGCATTCGCTCGTCACGCGGAAGACCAGAGTTCGATTCCCTACATGGGTACAATGTATGAAGCCATTTCTGGTGTCCCCCACAGTGATATTGCTGGAATATTACTAAAAGCGGCGTAAAACCATACTCACTCTTTTAAAGGGGAATACTTGAACGCGACGTAAAACCCCAATTTACCTCAAATCTAAGGAGAATATTTTTTCAAATGACATACATTATTTCCATTTCCTTCAAACACAAAAATACACAGCAAGTCTAAATAACTATGATTTCATCTTTATAAAAAACACACATGCCAAAGTTCCGCTTTGTCAGTCTGGCAATATTTTCGAACCAAAATACATTTTCATCAGAAAAGGCCCATTATTGGGCTTTTCAGTGTAGATGTCAAGGTGATCATATTGAAAATCAAATTCAAACTGGGATTTTGTTTTTAGATTTGATTTTTTTAGCTACATCTACAAATCCAGATAATTTGTATATGAACTATGAGCCTGAAATGTTTTAAAGAAAAACACCTAGAACAATGTATTTTTTATGGAAGGCATTTTTTTCAACAATCTGAATCATTAATATTTTTTCGAGAATTTCGGGGACAATATATTTGTTTCGATAAAATTCAAGGCCCCCGACAGAATATCAAATGATTAGGGTTCCTTTTTCGAGCGGGTGGTCAAGCAATACGTACCCCACAAACCAGTGGAATATTAAATGAATGTGTTGATGCAGGTTAATACTTGTAAGTCAATATATTAATAACGAGTCAGTGATCTCTGAGCGCTCATTTCAAGCGATGCTTGATTCCAAAATTTAATATTATCGTATTATGTTTAACACACCGACTTTGTTTGTTTCAACCACGGTGTCGTGTTCAGAAATGGAATTTCACTGGTACATATTTAGGCTCGTGTTAATTTAGCTTTTCCAGCCTTTGGATATAGTTCGATGGCTTCCTTATAATTAATGCATTAATTTGTCATAATCATTATTTTGATTTTATTCAGACATAGAATTTTAGAAAAACTTATCATAAAACCATTAAAATATTATCAAGAATCAAATTAAGTTATATCAGCACTGCCCCATCTGTCGCTAACTTTTGAATTAAAATGTAATATATTGAATCTTTACATAACAAATCTCGATACGGTTCAATGAAACGTAAGATGTGGTTCAACATATGTTGCAAGAATTTTGTAAATACATTTAACAATTCTTTATTTTAACCATATCGACTTTTAGTTTTTCACAAGGGAAACGAATTCGGAATAAAGTAAGACATGATTTAAACATATTTATTTTCACAAACATATAAAAATGGATTGGTAAACAAGCTAATCGCTTACATCAATATGCTCCTTGAATCGTAAAACATGTTGAAAATAATACATCAGTGTAAGCTGAATGTAACAAATGAATTGAACATGCCAAGCAATGTAATTAATTGAAAATATGTCAGTTTTTAATTGAAGTTTTAAACAGAATCTTATCTTTGGAAACAAATACAAATTTCCGTATAGCACTGTTTGTAACGAGTAACTATGGTGAACAAAATACATTTTATTTTGAAGGATATAGTAATTTGTACACACAACGAAGAAATGTTATGCATCTCGATATGATATCTACTGGAACAACGTTTAGTATCCAAAATACATGTATGTCTATTTTATAGGCTGTCCGTCTCGTGAAGACCCGGGGTAGAATACACATTTCCTTGCAACATCATCAATGAGCATTTTCCATGTACAAATACTTTGTAATGTAATACCTAGGTGCTTATGACTTTGTACATCTTTGATTTCTGTACCATTCATATATAAGTTAGGTTTGCGACTAGTGTTTACTTCATGGGTAAATTCAATAGATTCAGTTTTGTCGGTACTAAATTTAACTTGCTATCCAGCAGGGTTATTGGGTTTACAAGCAGCTTCCAGGGGATTTTCTATGATTACACACAAAGATTTATCTTTAGAAACAAGTCTTATGTATATATTCCTTCAACATTATCATTGATATCAATAATAAACAGATAGCCTAGTGGTTAAAGCGTTCGCTCGTCACGCCGAAGACCCGGGTTCGAATCCCGACATGGGTACAATGTGTGAAGCCCACTTCTAGTGTCCCCCGCCGCGATATTGCTGATATATTGCTTAAGGCAGCGTAAAACCATACTCACAATAATAAACAATAATGGTCCCAAGACCGAGCCCTGTTGCACTCCTGCCCCGACTGCTTTTAGATCTGAGCTACAGCCATTAACTACCCTTTAATTTGATTTTTCATTCATACATAAAACACTCTCAATAACGTTTCACAGATACCACAATGTGTAATTATTCCTTTGTACCAAACTTTATCAAAACCTTTACTTATGTCGCGATACTTTGTGGTATTATAAAACAATTATCGGTATGTAACTTAATAATCATCCCGTGGTTTTGTTTGTATGTTGTTTAACGCCGCATCCAGCAATATTCCAGATATATGACGGCGGTCTGGAAATAATCGAGTCTGGAACAGACAATCCCGTGATTGACATCATGAGCATCTATCCACGCAATTGGGATACGACATGCGTCAAATAAGTCAGCGAGCCTGACCACCCGATCCCGTTAGTCGCCTCTAACGACAAGTATAGTCGCTTTTTATGGCAAGCATGGGTTGCTGAAGACCTATTCTTCTCCGGATCTTCATGTGTCCACTCCGTGGTGATTTCGGTTAAGGATATAGGTCCCCAGCAATCCATGCAGGTCGATACAGGAGATTTATTGGATGAGGCGCGGGATCTATAACTTCACGTGTCATCGTACCCCTTTCGGAGTGGATCGTGCTCATGACATCAATCACTGGTTTGTCTGGTCCAGACTCGATTATTTACAGGCCGATGTCATATAGCTAGAATTAACAACAAACGTCACTTTCCTCACAAATCAAACCCCACCGCCTCCGTTGTTCGATCCGGGGTTTGATCCCCGGCCGCGTCATATCAAAAGACGTCAGAAGGGGCACGTGTTGTTACCCTGCCTGGCGCTCGGCAATAAAAGGCTGAAACAAGGACTGGTCGGCTCGGAATCAGTATATGTGTCTGAGCGGGTATTCATGCTAAACTGCGGCATGGTATCTCAGTGGCCTAGCACTATAAATCGGCATCAGTCCGGACCAGTACAAGCAGCCACAAACACACACGTGCATGCACGTCGCTATATAAGTGCAAATAATCTTGGAAACGACGTTGAACCCCATTTCGCCTCATATCACCTCAAATCAAACTCATAGTCTATCATTTTAAACTACCCCGGGGTATTAGTGAAATGTGTACTATTCAATACGGCGTCAGATCAATCTCCGTCATGCTGTTCTTCACGGCTGCACGTGCCAGGTATCCACATGAATATTTACACTGCTGAGTATTTCCAATTAACGGGAACCTGCAGATTGTACTAACGGTTAACCGTTAATTACTGCCCAGTCTGCGGACAGGGAGCACCACGGTGTATTGATATAACGGTATCCAATGTTCGCAGGTGCTTCAATGCGCTGTTATCATCTGCTGACTGTCAAAGGGGTTAATTTGGCAGTGATGGTATCCCCAGACAAACGCCGTTGTTTGTTCAATGTCAACACTTTGAGATGAGTTTGGAGCACGAGCGTGTTAGGGTCGCAAGCAGAGGCGGAATGTCGATCGGTGAGAAAAGAAAACAATTATTGTTATCTTGTTGGCATTGTTCTGTTCTCGAGGTAGCCACAGAACACGTGCAGATGACTCCCGTTATATACTGCTCAAAAGAAGTTAGAGAACACCCAATTTGTTCATGACTAGAGTTAATCTGTCATGGTGGGTATTGCAACACAGCCTTCCAATTTTGTTCAGGGTTTTCATGTATTGAGAGATATATATGTGACAGTCAAGGTGTAAAGTGACTGAAACTGTCACTTAAGCAATTTACAAAACGCAAATTCAATCATTTTACAGTTATTTCTTCCGTCAGATTGACGTATTAATAATTTCAAAATTTAAAAAAATATCATTTGACAAATTATGCTGGGATTAGAAGCCTCCAAATTATAAAAGTAAACATTGAACTTCGATTTCTTTTAATCCTATCATTTTCAGTCATTAGGTGATGGAATAGAACATAAGAATGGAAAAATAATTGTAAAATGACTGAAATATTTGGCGTTTTGTAAACACACATTGACTGAAACGTCAATGACGTTTGAAACAGTTTCATTGCAATATTATCTAAGTGATTATTTCAGTCATTATAGACATGTACTGTCACACATGCACCCACACCCTACACACACACATGCACACCCCCCCCCCCCCCCCACACACACACACTTTTGATAGCGATGGGATATAGTCCTCACTGTAAGGAAACTTACGACTACATTGGAAATCTGCACTTGTTGATTTTAAGTTGTATTGATGCTGGAAGTGAACATTATCTAGGCGGATAACCCTACCCCTACCCTCCGTATCCAAACACGCCCCCACCACCACCATCCAAACAGCACCCCCCCCCCCCCTTCAAAAATGTTTTTAAACATACCCATAAACAATTATTTGGTTGATTACTATTTAACATTTTACCAGGGTTCGTCGCTTTAACTGTATCGTAGAAGTCGATATATACCGGATCGGCGACAGATAACGCTTTCAAAGTCACATTTTGTTCAATTGTACCAAACATTTGTTATGTGGATAAAATAAAAGCGACAAAACCCGTTCCATAAACATAAGAAATTTCTTCCAAAACAGATTGTACGAAAACACTTCGTTCTTACTTGGTTTAACCTATCATTTTTTTTTTTCGGAAGGAAGAAACTACTTTTAACATGGTTTCGTATCCGTCGGCGGATTAGAAATTCACATTTCGCTTTTTTTGTTTCTGACCTGCATAATCTGCGCTGTAGTGTTCATGTACAAAGTGAATTATCAAATTGTGAAATACCTGTTGTTTCACGCCGAAACGAAAATATGTCGGAGCCTTATAAGCCAATAGTTTATGAGAATATTTTATTGGTTTGAACGAATTTAACACGGGGCCGTAATTGTATACCCAGGAAACAATTACATAAAAAAATATCACGACAAATTATGCAAACGAGAGATATGAAAGTGTTTAATATTTTTTCAAGCTTTCTAAACCCCTCAAAATGAGATTAAGGTTGTATTTTTTTATACATGCAACATCCGTGAGTCGAATTGAGGGTTTGGACGAGACGTTTGATGGAAGTAAACATCAAAGTCTCGTATCAAATACCATTTACCACAAAGCAAAAAACACGATTTTATATGTTAAGGATATCAAGCGTATTACTATTTACAGCCCTGGCAACATACGGGGGTCGCCGTTATAAAGAGGTTCAATAGGTTAACCGTTATAAAACTACCGGGCTTATATTTCCGTTCTTTTTAATTCAACCGTTATAATACAGAATTTCCACCGCTATTCATATTTACGTTTTTTTTCTAGTTTATTTCGTTGGGTAGATCTTCGCAATTATACACATGGAAAATGTTTGTGTGTTTCTTTTAATATATGCACCTAACACATGGCGAAATTTCTAAAGGAAACCCCGTAAAGGTTGTGGAAGGAAAAACCCCCAGAACAGTGCCGAGTGATTAACGTAATATCACGCACGAGGCCATTAAGTCAATTTGGAGGCTGTAGCCACATCGGGAAACGCACTAACCACACAACCACCAAACACCTTAGTTAATTTTTTGTACGTGGCAAAAATATACAAAAAGTTTGTTTTGTTTGTACGTTGTTAAACGCCGCACTCAGCAATATTCCAGATATATGACGGCGGTATGTAAATAATCGAGTCTGGACCAGACAATCCAGTGATTGATATCATGAGCATCGATCCATGCAATTGGGATACAATGACATGCATCAACCAAATCAACAAGCCTGACCCCCCGATCCCGTTAGTCGCCTCTTACGACAAGCATAGTCTCCTTTGACGACAAGCATAGTCTCCTTTGACGGCAAGCATGGGTTGCTGAAGACCCTCACAGACAACCTTCAACCCTACCCCCCACAGACAACCCTTCATCCCCATCCCCCACAGACAACCCTTCATCCCTACCCCCCACAGACAACCCTTCATCCCTACCCCCCACAGACAACCCTTCATTTCCAACCCCGACAGACACCCCTTCATTCCCACGACCACAGACAACCCTTCATCCCCAACCCTAAAAGACAACCCTTCATCCCCACCCCCCACAGAAAACCCTTCATCCCCACCCCCCACAGACACCACTTCATCCCTACCCCCCACAGACAACCCTTCATGCCCACCCCCACAGACAACCCTTCATCCCCACAGACAACCCCTCTTCCTCATCCCCCACAGACAACCCTTCATCCCCACCCCCGACCCCATTTTGGACAACCCTTCATCAACACCCCCACAGACACCCCTTCATCTCCACCCCCCACAGACACCCCTTCATCCCCATCCCCCACAAACACCCTTCATCCCCACAGACAACCCTTCATCTCCACCCCCCACATACACCCCTTCATCTCCACCCCCCACAGACAACCCTTTATCCCCACCCCCCACAAACACCCTTCATCCCCTGAGACAACCCTTCATCCCCACCCCCACAGACAACCCTTCATCCCCACCCCCCGACCCCATTTTCGACAACCCTTCATCCCCCATCCCCACAGACACCCCTTCATCCCCACCCCCACAGACACCCCTTCATCCCCACCCCCACAGACACCCCTTCATCCCCGCCCCCGACCCCAATTTGGACAACCCTTCATCACCACCACCCACAGACACCCCTTCATCCCCACAGAAAACCCTTCCCACATACAACCCTTCATCTCCAACCCCCCCCCCCCCCCACAGACACCCCTTCATCCCCACCCCCACAGACAACCCTTCATCCCCACTCCCACAGACAACCCTTCATCTCCATCCCCCCCACAGACACCCCTTCATCCCCACCCCCACAGACAACCCTTCATCCCCACTCCCACAGACAACCCTTCATCTCCACCCCCCCCCCCACAGACACCCCTTCATCCCCCCCCCCACAGACACCCCTTCATCCCCCACCCCCACAGACACCCCTTCATCCCCCTACCCCACAGACAACCCCTCGTCCACATCCCCCACAGACAACCCCTCGTCCACATCCCCCACAGACAACCCTTCATCCCCACTCCCACAGACAACCCTTCATCTCCACCCCCCCCCCCCACAGACACCCCTTCATCCCCCCCCCCACAGACACCCCTTCATCCCCCACCCCCACAGACAACCCTTCATCCCTACCCCCCCACAGACACCCCTTCATCCCCCTACCCCACAGACAACCCCTCGTCCACATCCCCCACAGACAACCCTTCATCCCCATCCCCCGACCCCATTTTGGACAACCCTTCATTTCCACACCCCACAGACACCCCTTCATCCCCACCCCCACAGACAACCCTTCAATTGGATAATCCTGTGGTTTGATTGACAGGTGCGGACAGTCATCGGCTGTGAATATAAATCTTCGGATTCCGCTGCCAGGATGAGAATTAAGTACCTTTGTGATTTAGCAATAATCTTCTCAGCACAAAGGGGTGCCTGATGGGTTTGCCCAGTGGGGAATCCGGGTAGACGTATAGGTCCAAGGGGAACTCAACCTGTCGCAAGATTCTACTTACTGAAAGATGCTCATGGTATCAATCACTGGATTGTCTGGTCCAGACTCGATTATTTACAAACCGTCTTCATAAAGCTGGAATATTGCTGAGTACGGCGTTACACAACCAGCCAACCAACCAACCAGCCAACCAACCAACCAACAACCAACCAACCTCTTGCGTGATATCTAGATACTGTTCACAGCGGCGTTAAACCCAGTTCCCTCACTCACTCACCGAAATCGTCTAACACACATTAAGTCGGAACAGCCACACACACACACACACACTATTTAATTGGTTTAATCAATCAAGGGCATGCTTAAATATTCAAGACGAAAATATTAAGCCTGATGTAAACAGTTAATAACGATAAATGTATACTTGTTGCCTTAAAAACTCACGTGGTCTTGAAACATGTGGTTTGAAATGTACACATCATCAGCCATTATTCAACAACATTGTCAGAGAATTGCTGCACGTGCTATAGCTGTGTTTACATCTATATTTCAAGTTTGATAGTTGCCAAATGTTTAATGTAACACGTCTGCGTATCAAATGAATTAAAACTGTTGGTGGATGAATGTTTTTGTACCGGTATCTACTGACACAGGTTCCTGTGGCAAGGTTCTGATAATCTAGGACAGTAATTGTGGCGAGTTTAGTATGGTAGGGTGCTGATAACCTAGGGCAAAAATTGAGGCGAGTTTAGTTTGGGAGGGTGCAAAAATTGTGGCGAGTTTAGAATGGGAGGGTGCAATAATTGTGGCGAGTTTAGTATGGGAGGGTGCAATGATTGTGGCGAGTTTAGTATGGGAGGGTGCTGATAACCTAGGGCAAAAATTGAGGCGAGTTTAGTTTGGGAGGGTGCAAAAATTGTGGCGAGTTTAGAATGGGAGGGTGCAATAATTGTGGCGAGTTTAGTATGGGAGGGTGCAATGATTGTGGCGAGTTTAGTATGGGAGGGTGCAATGATTGTAGCGAGTTTAGTATGGGAGGGTGCAATAATTGTGGCGAGTTTAGAATGGGAGGGTGCAATGATTGTGGCGAGTTTAGTATGGGAGGGTGCAATGATTGTGGCGAGTTTAGTATGGGAGGGTGCAATGATTGTAGCGAGTTTAGTATGGGAGGGTGCTGATAACCGAGGACAATAATTATAGCGAGATTAGCATGGGAGGGTGCAAAAATTGTGGCGAGTTTAGAATGGGAGGGTGCAAAAATTGTGGCGAGTTTAGAATGGGAGGGTGCAATAATTGTGGCGAGTTTAGTATGGGAGGGTGCAATGATTGTGGCGAGTTTAGTATGGGAGGGTGCAATGATTGTGGCGAGTTTAGTATGGGAGGGTGCAATAATTGTGGCGAGTTTAGTATGGGAGGGTGCAATGATTGTGGCGAGTTTAGTATGGGAGGGTGCAATAATTGTGGCGAGTTTTTAATAGGAGGGTGCAACAATTATAGCGAGTTTAGTATGGGAGGGTGCAATAATTGTGGCGAGTTTAGTTTGGGAGGGTGCTGATAACCTAGGGCAATAATTGTGGCGAGTTTAGTTTGGGAGGGTTCTGATAACCTAGGGCAATAATTGTGGCGTGTTTAGTATGGGAGGGTGCAATAATCGTGGCGAGTTTAGTATGGGAGGGTGCAATAATTGTGGCGAGTATAGAATGGGAGGGCGCAATAATCGTGGCGAGTTTAGTATGGGAGGGTGCAATAATTGTGGCGAGTTTAGTTTGGGAGGGTGCTGATAACCTAGGGCAATAATTGTGGCGAGTTTAGTTTGGGAGGTTGCTGATAACCTAGGGCAATAATTGTGACGTGTTTAGTATGGTAGGGTTCTGATAACCTAGGGCAATAATTGTGGCGTGTTTAGTATGGGAGGGTGCAATAATCGTGGCGAGTTTAGTATGGGAGGGTGCAATAATTGTGGCGAGTTTAGTATGGGAGGGTGCACTAATTGTGGCGAGTTTAGTATGGGAGGGTGCAAAAAATGTAGCGAGTTTAGTATGGGAGGGTGCTGATAACCTACGGCAATAATTGTGGCGAGTTTAGAATGGGAGGGTGCAAAAATTGTAGCGAGTTTAACATCGGAGGGTGCAAAAGTTGTGGCAAGTATAATAAGGGAGGGTGCAATAATTGTGTCGAGTTTAGAATGGGAGGGCGCAATAATTGTAGCGAGTCTAGTATGGGAGGGTGCACTAATTGTGGCGAGTTTAGTATGGGAGGGTGCATTAATTGTGGCGACTTTTTAACAGGAAGGTGCAACAATTATAGCGAGTTTAGTATGGGTGGGTGCAATAATTGTGGCGAGTTTAGTTTGGGAAGGTGCTAATAACCTAGGGCAATAATTGTGGCGAGTTTAGTTTGGGAGGGTGCTGATAACCTAGGGCAATAATTGTGGCGAGTTTAGTTTGGGAGGTTGCTGATAACCTAGGGCAATAATTGTGGCGAGTCTAGTATGGGAGGGTTCTGATAACCTAGGGCAATAATTGTGGCGAGTTTAGTATTGGAGGGTGCAACAGTTGTGGCGAGTTTAATATGGGAGGGTGCTGATAACCTACGGCAATAATTGTAGCGAGTTTAGTATGGGAGGGTGCTGATAACCTAGGGCAATAATTGTGGCGAGTTTAGTATGGGAGGGTGCAAAAATTGTGTCGAGTTTAATATGGGAGGGTGCAATAATTGTGGCGAGTTTAGAATGGGAGGGTGCAATAATCGTGGCGAGTTTAGTATGGGAGGGTGCACTAATTGTGGCGAGTTTAGTATGGGAGGGTGCTGATAACCTACGGCAATAATTGTGGCGAGTTTAGAATGGGAGGGTGCAATAATTGTAGCGAGTTTAGCATGGGAGGGTGCAGAAATTGTGGCGAGTATAATATGGGAGGGTGCAATAATTGTGTCGAGTTTAGAATGAGAGGGCGCAATAATTGTAGCGAGTTTAGTATAGGAGGGTGCACTAATTGTGGCGAGTTTAGTATGGGAGGGTGCAATGATTGTGGCGAGTTTTTAACAGGAGGGTGCAACAATTATAGCGAGTTTAGTATGGGAGGGTGCAATAATTGTGGCGAGTTTAGTTTGGGAAGGTGCTAATAACCTAGGGCAATAATTGTGGCGAGTTTAGTATGGGAGGGTGGAAAAATTGTGGCGAGTTTAATATGGGAGGGTGCAGATAACCTACGGCAATAATTGTGGCGAGTCTAGTATCGGAGGGTTCTGACAACCTAGGGCAATAATTGTGGCGAGTTTAGTTTGGGAGGGTGCTGATAACCTAGGGCAATAATTGTGGCGAGTTTAGTATGGGAGGGTGGAAAAATTGTGGCGAGTTTAATATGGGAGAAGGCAGATAACCTACGGCAATAATTGTAGCGAGTTTAGTATGGGAGGGTGCTGATAACCTAGGGCAATAATTGTGGCGAGTTTATTCTGGGAGGGTGCAATAATTGTGTCGAGTTTAATATGGGAGGGTGCAATAATTGTGTCGAGTTTAGAATGGGAGGGTGCAATAATTGTGGCGAGTTTAGTATGGGAGGGTGCAGATAAACTACGGCAATAATTGTAGCGAGTTTAGTATAGGAGGGTGCTGATAACCTACGGCAATAATTGTGGCGAGTTTAGTATGGGAGGGTGCAATAATTGTGGCGAGTTTAATATGGGAAGGTGCAATAATTGTGGCGAGTTTAGAATGGGAGGGTGCAATAATTTTGGCGAGTTTAGTATGGGAGGGTGCAACAATTATAGCGAGTTTAGTATGGGAGGGTGCAATAATTGTGGCGAGTTTAGTTTAGGAGGGTGCTGATAACCTAGGGCAATAATTGTGGCGAGTTTAGTATGGGAGGGTGCAAAAAGTTGTGGCGAGTTTAATATGGGAGGGTTCAGATAACCTACGGCAATAATTGTAGCGAGTTTAGTATGGGAGGGTGCACAAATTGTGGCGAGTTTAATATGGGAGGGTGCAATAATTGTGGCGAGTTTAGTATGGGAGGGTGCAAAAATTGTAGCAAGTTTAGTATTGGATGGTGCAATAATTGTGGCGAGTTTATAATAGGAGGGTGCAACAATTAGAGCGAGTTTAGTATGGCAGGGTGCTGATAACCTACGGCAATAATTGCGGCGAGTTTAGTTTGGGAGGATGCTGATAACCTAGGGCAATAATTGTGGCGAGTTTAGTATGGGAGGGTTCTGATAACCTAGGGCGATAATTGTGGCGAGTTTAGAATGGGAGGATGCAATAATTATAGCGAGTTTAGTATGGGAGGGTGCAACAATTGTGGCGAGTTAAGTATGGGAGGGTGCAATAATTGTGGCGAGTTTAGAATGGGAGGGTGCACTAATTGTGGCGAGTTTAGTTTGGGAGGGTGCTGATAACCGAGGGCAATAATTGTGGCGAGTTTAGTTTGGGAGGGTGCTGATAACCTAGGGCAATAATTGTGGCGAGTTTAGTATGGGAGGGTGCAATAATTGGAGCGAGTTAAGTTTGGGAGGGTTATGATAACCTGTGGGGTGTGTGGGTGTGTGGGGGTGTATGGGGTGTGGGGTGGGGGCGTGGTGGGGTGGGGTGTGGTGTGGTGTGGTGTGGTGTGGTGTGGTGTGGGGTGTGTGGGGTGTGTGTGTGTGTGTGTGTGTGTGTGTGTGTGTGTGTGTGCTGATAACACAGGACAATAATTTTGGCGAGTTTAGTATGGGAGGGTGCTGATAACCTAGGACAATAACTGTGGCGAGTTTAGTATGGGAGGGTGCTGATAACCTAGGACAATAACTGTGGCGAGTTTAGTATGGGAGGGTGCTGATAACCTAGGACAATAACTGTGGCGAGTTTAGTATGGGAGGGTGCTGATAAC